TTTTTTTGGTCTTTTTGAGACAGGGTCTCCTTGTAGCCCCAGCTGGCCTGGAACTCACTATGTAGACCAGGCTGGCCTCGAACTCACAGAGATCTGCCTGCCTAGCATTGGCTGGGAAAAGGAGGGTGAAGAAGAGAGACGGCAAGGCCATGCCTTTTTGAAGGAGAGTCCCGAGGTCCCTTCACTGATGATGTCAACCACCAACCTAAAGCTTGACAACCCAACTGACCGAAATGTGTGAAGACCACAGCACCTCGTAGGTACTGTGTGCGGCCCAACAGTCGGGTCTTTGATGCTGGTGCCTCTTATCAACGTATCTGTGGAAGGAGGCAAAACTGGAAGACCTTATGGACTCCAAACTTCAATGTGTGTTTGAATTGCAAGCAGAATACGACAAACCACATGATATAGAAATAAGTAAAATGATACCCACAAGTGCATCCAAGACAGAGACGGCATCAGTGACGGCTAAGTCCCTGACTTTATCCCTCGATGAGTCCCTGACTTTATCCCTCGATGACACTGAGGTGAAGAGGGTGATGGATGAGTGCAAGTGGCTGCAGGAGGAGGTACAGAAGCTGCGGGAGGAGAGCAAGCAGCTCAAGGAAGATGGGCTTCAGATGAGGAAGGCACTGCAGAGCAACAGGCTGCCACGGGGAAGGAGGAAGGCCTCAGCACCCAGCCGCTGGTTCTGGGATTTTGTTCTTTATTGTGGGTGTCATTATAGGGAAGATTGCCTTGTAGAGGCTGCATGTAAAGGATGGCAAATTGGATTGATGGATCCACATCATGGGATTTAAACTTATCATAATCATGCATAAAAAGAAATTAATGTATGATATCTCACAGGTCTTGCCTTTACCCCTCCCCATGCACACACAAATATAGCTAATATAACGATCTTTCAGGAAGTTAAAAATGTCTAATAAATGGATGGGGGAAGAATGATCTGCTAATGACAAGAGACACCATACTTAATGCCACAGTGGCATATTGTAGCTGTCACGTTAATCGTGGGTAGACCTTGGCACATGCTACTGGATCACCATCTTAACCCAAGACTCTCTTCCTCACCTGCTGGGGCTGACCCATGGGAGCAGGAGCCCAGTGTGGTGAGGTGGGCTGTCCACTCCACATTCACCCCATGCTGCCTGCTCCTACCTAGGCGGCTCCCCCAGGTCTGCAGGTTTGTACAAGCCATCGGTTCCTCAGGATCACGGAGCTGCAGAATCCATAAAGCATAGCGTGGTGGCCACATCTCATATGTAGTTGGTCATGATTAAGAAGCACATGTGGACTGACCCAACCAACACTTGGCAATCAAAGTCTGTGCTTTGTTCTCTTAAAGGGACCAAGCTAAATTACCTTTGGTTCATGTAGTGAAACAGCTGTTTAACGTATTTAACTTATTTAATGTATTTCATCTCGTGTTCTCATTGTCAAGAGTAGTCAGAGCTGCAGCTTGGAAGTCACCTGTGCTGCAGAGCCCCCGCGGTGGGCTGGCACTACTGTGGACACTGGACTCTCTGCAGGCTCTGGGTACGGGGAGGGTCTGTCCAAGTGTCGGGGGATAGTGTCCAGGGAGCATTTTCAGTATTGATCAGTAAGAGCTGTCCTGGGGTGGGACATTATTTGCAGTGACAGTCGGCTACCCAGCCTTCTGGATTGTTCTTTCACTCTCAGCCTCATCCGTCCAGCACACAGGCCAGGTCTGACCTGTTATCCTCAGGACGAATGAGTTGGGCTGCCCAAGAGTGAGGGGCACGGAGGTAGGGATGGGGAGCAGGTGGGCTCCTCAGCAAATCCATCTGCTGGTAATGGGGAGTCTTGACTGTGAATTAATTTCATGCCCTAAAAGACCAACTATGTAGCATCTTAAAAAGAAATTAAAGCCCCCCCCCCCCAAAAGCCTATACATCCCTCAAAGTGGCCAACTGGTCCTAAATTGGCAGGCCGGCCTTGCTCAAGGCTTATCAACCAGTCACTCCTAGGACTGAAGGAGACTTCATGATGGAGCCAACCTGTCTCCTTTAGTGCCCACGATTACTCGCCTGCCCTACCTGAAAAAATAATCTTGGGAGGAAGACCTTCAGTCACTCAAGGACACCAGAGTGTGACACCAAGTGAACTCCTGAAACTTTAATTTCATATACAAACCCAAAACCCCTTTCCTTAGTTGCAGATGCCTTCTTCCCAAGGAAAGGCTTCTGTCCTTCACTGCAATACCGTGAATAAAGGACACATTCCTTGCCTGTTGCAGGTCTGGCTCTGGCTCATTTCTAAACTCTAAACTCTTTTCTCCAAAATCTAACATGTCCCAGTAATGGAACTGGGGTTCTCAGTTTTGACAGCAAGCACTTTATCCACCAGCCAACTTACTGGCCTGTTTAAAAAGATTCTGTTTAAATGCTTTTTTGCCCAGGCAGTTCTTGGCTTTCCATCATGTTACCCCTTCCTGGCCACCATGAGGTAAGCAGAGTTGATCCACAATACATTCCTCACCATTCCATTTTGCTTCTTGATGGCCCCAAAGCATTGAAGCAAACCAGCCATTAAACCAAAACCTATGAAATGAAGCCAAAATTCATCTTTCCTCCTTGGAAGTTTTCTCAGTCTGTCACAGTGATAGTAAGCTAAGTAGCACACATGCTTCATCTTTTCAGAGCAGTTTTACAAGTTCACAGCAAAACTGAGCACAGAGGTCCCGTACACTTCCATCCCCGGGCGTACATTCTCCCTCGGTTCTCAATGTCTCACACGAGTGGTACACACTGAAGAACTTCCATTGACATGCCATGTGTTCCAGAGGTCACAGTTTGCATTAGAGCTGACTTGGTGGTCCACATTCTGTATAAGCAGTAAAGGCAAGTATCCCTCACTCCAGTATCCTACAGAGTAGCTTTACTGCCTGGTACTGCCCACCCACCACTAGTCTTGTTCTCCTTTCCCACTGTCTTGGGCAACTTCTTATTTTGTATTCTCTCCATAGTTATGCTTTTTCCAGCATTTCATGCAGGCTCCTTCCATTTAGGCATGTGCATTTAAGGTTCCTCCAAGGTGGTTTTTTATTTTTTTTATTTTTTTAATGGTTTGCCAGCTCCTTTCTTTTTTAGCACTGTCTCTTGTTCTGTATGTATGATTTATTTTTCCATTCGCCCACTGAAGGATGTCTTCGAAGTTTCCAAGTTTGACCGCTGTGAGTAAAGCACCAGTCAGCATCTACGTTCAAGCTTCTGTCTGAACATGCTCTCAGATCCATGTGCTGGGTCACATGGTAGGTAAGAGATCATTTCTTTCCTCTTGTAAGAAATGAGGTCCAGTGGTGGCTGTGCTGTTTCACATCCCCAGCAGCAGGAATCTGTCAGGGTTCCTGTTGCTTCACAACATCTCCCAGTGTTTATTTGATGTCTGATTTTTGCCAGTTAGAATTCCCAGATACCATTACGTTGAAGCTTCTGTTCATATGCTTAGAGCCGTCTGGTGAGGTATCTGTCAGCGTCTGTGCTGATATTTTAATCTGGTTATGCATTTTTTATTGTTGAGTTTTCATGGTCATTTATATATTTCTCAATAGCAATTCTTTACCAGATGAATGTTTTGCAAATACTTTTCCCCCGTCTGTAAATTGTCTTCTTTTCTACTGATGTCTGTTTCGCTTTGTTTTGTTTTGTTTTTATGTAAAAGGTTATTGGTTCCCAGTGTCCCTTCTCTCTGGAGCATCTACATGTTTTTTTTGTCATAACCCCTATCTTTGTGATAAGCTCGCAGAGCTGTGGCTGTTGTGTGGAACCTCATGAATTGCAGCTGTGCGAATTTAACACCGTCGGTGTTTTCTGAAACTCCATCTATGTTTGATTGAAATTTAGTTCCAACCTTACTGTCCCTTTGCTGCTCTAGTCATGGTTGAGTTTCCTCTTTTTCTTACCAGTTTCTGTGACATGTCAGACAGATGTATATTACTGTTTGAAGGGCTAGCTACGAAATTTGTCTTTTACATGATTACTCTTAGAGAAGACACTGTGACACTCAACCATTTTGGAGGAATTTAGTGTCATTTAATATCCGTGCATGTCAAAACTGGTGCAAAGTACATCTTAAACTATTTTCCCCAGTTATCCAAGCTATAAAGCTTTAATGAAAAATAAAATCCTGGAAACTAAATACTTAAAAAAACAGCAGAATGTGGCAAAGTGAAAGTCCTGGTGGAGGGGGAAGGTGAAGGTTTGTGTTGTCTGGAAGGCTGGCATAGCTGTTTTATCCCTTGGGAGAGATTGTGTCACCTAGAGTCTGGTTTGTGGCCTCTTTTGTAACCAGCCAGCAATTGCAGGAATAGCTTGGACTTTATTGCGTAATGCTACCAGCCTGGGTCGGTTGTCCAGCAAGTCAGGCTTTAAGACCAAAAGTGTGGTGCTGCAAATATCCCAGTAGAAATCTGCCCAGGTTACCTAGTAAAAAGAAAGCAAAAAACTATTTGCTTTTGACTATAAAAACAAAAATCAGCATTCCAAAATTAAACTTATTAGTCTAAAAGATCATTTCTTTCAATTCTGAAACAATTTTTTGTTAATACAAAGCTGAATTGTGTATATGATAAACATTTAGAAAATCAAAAATGTGATGCTTATAACACCCAAAGGACACTCAGTGATTACTGCTTATTAGCACTTTAACGTATTTATTTGTCTGCATAGATACACAGAGGCATTCACTAACATGTATTCCAGCAGCATATGTTATTTTCAAAACTGGTCCCTCTCCACCAGTCTAACAATGCATTTTCATCTAATCTGTTCCCCAAATGCTCTTTGTAGGATAAAGCAAGATTTAGTCCAGGTGTGTACATTTCCACTAGTTATGCCTTTAACTCTGGGGCATTACTCTGCCAACATTGTAGTTAACACCTAAACAAACAGCCTGACTATTGGGCTCGAACTCTGAGGGCACCTGCTTTTCCAAATGTCTCTGGAACTGTGCTGCCAAGTCAGCCCTCACCCATAATTTTATTCAAAACCATTTCTTCAGCATCAATTTGGAGAAACCGTAAGCTTGGATTCCCCCATATCTTATCAGACAATCTTGCCCTTTTATCCCTAAGCCTAAAACATCGCACACAGAAACACAATGTCAAGCATTCTTCTCAATCTCCATTGCTTTCCATGAAGATATAATATAAACTTGTTGCTGTTCAGCACTCTGATTTGTTAATTCTTAAACATATCCACATTCATTCACTATCTTGAGTTTTTGGTAAATTGGTTTTGAGGGATAAAGGTCAGGTACCTAGGTTACAAGAACATGTGGCTCAGTGAGTTTGTTTGCATTATAAATAGTCCAGATCTGTCCATTTTGTGGGAGTTATTCCTACAAACTCTCTTAATTCAGTTAGTACACTCTTGTATGTCCTGAATCACAGAAGATTCCATAGTAGTCCAGCAAATGTTCTGTCTTCAGGATCCATGAGATTATTTATTGT